ACAGACTCACCTCTCCCTGTGTCAGGAAATTTGCCATTAGTGCCCCCTTCACTGCATTCTCCAGTTCGCAGTCTTTGAAGATGATGAGAGGAGATTTCCCTCCAAGCTCCAGAGTCACCTGCTTCACACTCTTTGCAGACATTTCCATGACCTGAAAGTAAAGAGAGCAGCCATGGTCTGTGGGCTTGTATAACAAAGTCACCTTTAGCTTAAAATAAAACAGCAGATCTTTAAGGCTGGTTAGGGTGACCCTCCTCCACCCTGCAGGAGATCTCCAGAGCAGAACAAGGGCTACTGTTGTCACCTCCAGGTTGGTGTACTCTGAGTCTGTCCAATTCATACAACATCCTGAAAGATGAAAAGGGAAGCCAATGCAGACTTAAGGATGACGACTGATTTAGATTTCTGCAGAAAATCTTTGTAGAGCCTGCAGCATTAATGCTTGTTTGAGGTACATGTGTTAACTACAGTGTGTTTGTGTCCTGGTGTTTTATATGCTGAACCAGTTGACTGAAACAAAACACTGGGAGTCTTATCCTCCCAGGTCCCCACTGCCTCTCTGCAGTCAGTTTTCTTTTTAGGGGCAAAGATATTTGTAACTGACATCGTTTCACTTCTTTGTACTTTCCCTCACGCCAGTTCCTATAACTTCAGTTCTCATTCCAGGAATTTGCTGAAATTTGATGCAATGTTTTTTTCTTTCTTATACTGTGATGATGACTGTTATTCTCTCATTGACAAGTTCAAAAATTGTAACTTGAAATGCACATGAGGAATCAACAGTTGTTGAACAGGCCAATCACAATAGCGGTATAGCTAGTAAAGCAATATAGCAAGATAGTACAGCAAGATAACTCCTGACACCAATTGTATGCATGCATGTGGAAACTTATCACAAGGGGGCCTGAAGTTTTATTGCACCTTCACAGAAGGTTCATTGTAGACTTGAAGATCTGCATCGGCGGCCACAATTCAGAGATCACCCTAGTGTTTGATTGGAGTGGTTCTCTTCATATTGAAATATGTTATTAAACTCACTTCAACTAATGCTCACCGAGGTGTTTGCAGGTTATTGTTAAAATTTCCATAACACTACATTTCTAGGGAGGTGCAAATCAGGTCGCACTGTAGGATTTTAGAGGGGTTTGTGGTTCCAATATAGTTACGGTGTAGATTTCCCCACAGGAGTATAAATACCCAATAAGTGAGTCCAAAAGGGAGCATCCTAAATTCCCATGTTTAAATGTCCAAGTCCACAGCACTAAATTCAGTTTACAGCCTGGTTGAAAAAAAAAACCAAAACATAAATAAATGAAATAAAATATATAATAATAATAATAATAATAATAATAATAATAATAATAATAATAATAATAATAATAATAATAATAGTTCAGTGTATCTGGGCAGCCCAACTACAGTCCATGTGTGGGAAACAATGCTGTACTGGTCTGTACCTTTTTGCCTGTAGGAACACTCCCCGTGAAAGAGACTTTAGCAACTTTTGGATGATGGCAGAGCAAGCTGCCGGTCTCTGCTCCACCTTGGACCACACAGAAAAGCCCATCAGGTACCCCAGCCTCTTTGTAGATCTCAGCCAGGATGACAGCAGTCACGGGAGTCATTGGAGAGGGTTTAAATACCATGGCATTACCTGAAAACCCAACCCAAATTTAAATCCTGCAAAGCTATCTTTGTGAATGGTCACGAGACAAGACAAACAGACAGGAACAAGCTGTACAACAGGTGGATTGATAGGACTAGTGTTCATCAGTGATGTGACAGAGGCTCTGTGGCTCTGCTACATTATCTTTAGCAGGCTCTTCCCATTTTAAACTGCCAATCTTTTGCCTCTCTCATTTTTGTTTGTCTCCACTCTTTTCTTGCCTCTCACACTCGCAGCAAGTTGAAGCTGATGGCTCTTCTTGTTAATGGACCCTCACCAATTACTGCTCACTGAGGATGTCCTACTGTTTTTTTTTGTTTTGTTTTTCTTTAAACAAACAAAAAAAAAAATGATATAAACCTGTTCTCTGTTAAGACAAAGAGGGACATTTGTCGTTTTGTCTCTGCCCCCTCCCCCCCCACATCTATGAAAAAGTATGTCTTCTCTAGTCTGTCTTGTTTCAGTCCCCTGCTCTCCTATATGTCGCAATCCTCTGTTGTGCAGATTACTGACAGCAGATGATACACATGCTGTTATAAAACTCACCACATGCCAGAGCAGGAGCAGACTTCCATGATGCTATCTGGAAAGGGTAGTTCCATGCACCGATTCCCACACACACACCAAGTGGCTCCCGTCTAGTGTAAGCAAATGCTCCTCCAGGGAGCTGGATGTGCTGGCCTGCACCAAAATGACAGCACAATGTTAAAAACAATACCAAACTGAGGTTTTTGCACCTTTTGATAAACACAGAAGCATTGGTGCACCCACCCGCAAGTGTCCCAGCCAGGCCAGCATAGTACTCAATGCTCTGCCAGGCAATGTCAATATCCACCAGAGCCTCAATGATGGATTTCCCATTGTTGATCACTTCCAGCTTTGCAATTTTTTCCCTCCTTTCCTATTTTTTTAACATGCATAAAGGGGGGAAAAAAAGCATGGAACTATTTTAATTGACACTCATCGGTAATTTTGTGGAACAAGATGTCTTGTTTTAAGATTATGCAATGACCGAGAGACAATAGAGACACACAAAAGGTTAAATTGGTTCAAATGTAGGCCAGCAGAGAAGGGAGGGGTGCATTTTAATGAATAACTAATGTCTTATTGCAGGCTTCCAACAGTCAAGTCCAATTTATATTGCACAAACACTGAACTAGACAGTTTCCTGGACTGCTGGTGGTTATTACACAACAGCTTGGCCGTCTCACCCTGATAATGCGAGCAGCCTCCAACATCACCCGAGCCCTCTCCATGCCTGCCATCTTGCTCCACTTCTGGTAGGCGGCATAGGCACTCTGTATGGCTTCGTCCACCTCCTCAGCCCCACAGGGCACCATCTGACACAGGACCCGGCCTGCAGAGACCAGAAGAACACCAGGTTACAGAGCTCTACATCATGCATTTTTCTTTTTTTCTATTTTTTTTGTTTGTTTTTTTTTTGTATCAAATCTCTTTTCAATTTCTAACAATTGACATTTTTAACCTGAATCAGTAAAAACACCCTCATTAACAGTAGTGATCTTCTTTGTGCAACATTAAAATGTAAAACAGACCCTTGCATTGTTTAATCTTCAGAAATGTTTATGCCTGCCTGTCATTACTGTGCATATCCCTAACCTTTATAACCTGAAAGCATGAAATCCAGTTAACTTTATACTAATATCAAGTAAAGGGGGAAAAAAACAGCCCTTTGTTTGTCTACTAGTCTGCACATAGTTAAGTCAAAATGTCTATGTTACAATACTTAACAGAAGTCTGAGCAGAATCTGAGCGTTTCAAATATATTTCAGAAAAACCGCAGGCCTTTAAACCACCGTCACTTGTTTTCCCCAGAATACGTGTCCTTAGCAGGAGCACTAAGGCTAAAGCAGATTTTAAAGAGAAGTATATTCACCAGTTGCAGGCTCAAACACGGGCTCAGCGTTTTTCTCCTGCCTGGGTTTCACTCGTTTTCCACCCCAGAAGTTCAGAGGCTCCGTGACAACCACGGTCCCCGTCGAGGCTCCGGGCATCGAGTCGAGGGTTGACTGGGCCATTTCCAGATACAAAGCGCCTGCAGGGAATTATGTAGCAAAGTTATAAAACAGATGTGCAACTTAGGACAAGCGATCTAAACTGGTGGCTCCCTTTGCTAGCGTGAAGCTAGCACGGACATTAAGTTAGCTAAACTTGCACAAGACAAGCAGCGCGCGCAGATTTTAAATATGATAGCAGACAAGTAAAAGTAGCTGAAGTTTTACCGCTTATGCTCCCGCAGAAGGACTGGAAATGAAGGCAGACGCTAATCACCTTCACGCCCGTTTAGCAGCCAGAAGACCACGCCTCCTTCATGTCCTCCATGCTCCCACCCCGTTCGGCTTCTTCTGATACACACTCCGATCCGAGTAGAGGTCAAAAAAACAACCGTAAAAATTTATGTAGGTCTGGTTTTAAAACAAGATTATTGTTATTAGTTAATACTGGCAGTGTAACGGGTGCAAAGATTAAAATATCCAGCAGCAGAATTAAAGACATTATAAATGAGAGATTTGTGTTAATCAGAGCAGGATTAAAAAGCTCTATATAAAAATACTGTTCAGGCTATTTTTAAGTGTTTAAAATACTTTGAGAATTTCATTAATGTATTTATCTACTTGTTAGCAAATTTATGAAAGGAGCAAGAACTGATGTTTGATGTTTTTGCTCTTTTCCTTTAATTTCTGCCCAGATTGTGGCATCTTGCTTGTTTCATACAACCATGAAATGTATCCGCAGCATGTGTGGAGTTTACCCGTGCAAAACTGAAAGCACTGATAATTTAATAAGGTGGAGACCTGCTCTGTAATGTAATATCCCAGAGTTCACTTTTCGGGACCTCAGATTGTATGCAAAACATGACCGTGGCTTCTGATTGGTGCTTTAAACCTGCACGTTTTCTTAAAGTCAGCAGGAAGTGACTCCTGAAGATGCATAAAGAAGCCAGTTACTGCATATAGAAGTCGATGGGGAGGGAAAACCATCATCCTACTCAATGTACAACTTCAGTAAACACTTTTCTTCATGATCTAATGGGCTTCAAATTACTTGACAATAACTAGTAAGATTTTAAATGGGAAGGATAGTTTTTGTGCTACATCCCACAATTTTTTGTTTCAACTTTTAATCACTGACAATTTAAAAAAAAAGATCTGATTGATTTAGTTCAGCAGCATCTGCATACTCTTGTTTGTTTTCCCTTAAAAATATCTTGTTCACTCAAATGAGTTTCACTCCATAGCTTCCCTTTAAATTAGATGGTAGTACAAAGGGACAAAAAACAACAACAACAACAAAAAAAAAGACATGCCTGAAATCTAATCATAAAACTTTATTCATATGCATGACACAACAGTACACAATGACATACAATAATACTGAAACTGGATCAGATGTTACTGTGTCAATCGTTAATTTAAAATCTCCAAACACTCCATGAATTTTGCTAAATGCACAGCTGACATTTGTAACCTTTAATAATCAACAGAATGAACTATAATTTTCCTATAATTTCTAACCAAAACAGTTATAATGTTTAATGTTAAATAAACAACAAAATGAATAAGAATCAAACAAAGTAGTGGTACTGTAGCTGCAACGGGTAAGACTTTTAACCTCAGCAGGAGCAGTTCTGTCTGTGCGCTGGTGGGGGCGCTATGAATGCAGGCAGTAGTGCAGGGACATCTGGGATGCTGATTACGAAAACTTAGCTGCTTGTGGAGGAGGTCCTAAAAAGCCTCCAGCCTGTTTGGTTGCAGCTCTGGAGGGTGCAAGACCGAGCATCTTCTGAATGTTCTACAGGAAAAAACAAAACAAAAGAAAACAGCAGAAACTCTAAAACAAATACCCAAACCAGCACAGAATATACATTTGATAACACTTAGTATGCACGATATTAACCCTGATATATTGCTGTATATTATTCTACACATACAGTTTCCTGCTAACACCAGTTGGATGTGTATTCAACAAACAATACAGAATTTGTCCTAAGGGTGGCAGTAGCGAACACAGCAGGTTACTTAAATTAACTCAACTGCCTTGGTCTCCCTGTGGAAACCAGATAATATCCTCTGGAGGTGTTTATGCTGAATCTGAGTAACAGTATTTAGTCCTTGTACAGCTGCAGTGAAAGCTCTGTCCATATTGCCAGCAATAAGTCAGACTCGTTCCTGGTGAGTATGTCCACTGATATACAATAAAAGTATAGACGTTACCTGTCTGATGGACATGGTGCAGAGGATATAGAGGAAAATAAAGGAGCAGTCGGTGTAATCCTCGCCCAGCAGGTTGCGGTGTGACAGTCCCTGGATATACGACAGTGGCACAAATGGCAATTTGGCCACAACTCTTCCATCGAAACTGAACGTAACATAAAAAGCCAAAAAGGGAACTTGTTTAAAACAATGGACTGGACAAGTTACTTTCTTATATTTTGCCTGATGTTTTTTGTTTTTTTTTATGAAAAGAGAAAGCTTTTTAACAAAATGTGAAACAGTATTTTACCCTGCAGTAACTTACATGGAGTTGAACATGCCCATGAGAGCTGTGAAGCAGAAACCAATGGCAAACATGGATTTCATCCGTACCTACAAAACAAACACTCAGGATTTAAAACGCATACATTTAACCATAAACACTTAAATTAAAATATATAAGGTTTGACTGGAATGATCAGCGGGCAAAATTTTGACCCGCCTCTCAACTGATTTAAGAACAAAAAATATGCTACAGTTGTTGAAATGAAAACGAAATGGTCATTCTGAAGGGTTTGTGTGGGAACTTTTTTCAGATTCAGTTGACTTTAAATGGAATGACCTCGCTAAACTACGATAACTAGACAACCGCAGTATCAGACATTAAGCCTGGGCTGCATATTAACTGGAAACAAAACATCTCTCACCATAGACAGGTCTCTGTTGTTGTTCTTCAGCTTCTCCTCTTGCCTTTCTGCAACACAATCATTCACAAAACACTGTTATCCAGAGGAGAAGGGCCGATCATAAAAGCAGAACACCGGTTTGTTTACAGGGTTCTTACCAATCTTCTTCTTTTGTTGGCGTCCAGCAGATTCAGTTATGGTTTCCTTTTTCTTCTCAACTAGTATCAGAGAGGACAAAATTAATCTTTTAACAATCTGAAAAAAATAGCAAGTTAACAAGACAACACTTGAGTCACTTACGTTTTTTGCTTTGCTTTTCAACTTCAGCCTTTAGCCTCTTGTACTTTTCAGTCCGATACACTAAAACCCAGGTAATCCCTGAGGAGAAAATACGATTGTTTAAATAAAATTAAAATAAAATTGAAAACTGCCACTGAAGTTTCCAACATTTCACACTGATCAATATGTGAAGTTTTTGCACATTTCTGAAACCTTTTCCTGAATCAGAAGAAATCTCTGCAGCCACAGTATTCAATAAGCTTTGCATCCTCTTCTGTCACACCAACCCTCTGCATTCCTCCTTCACTCTATCCATGGACCTCCTCTACGGTCCACACAGCTCAGTGACAATCAGTTCTCTTCTTAGACTAGCTTTACCAACTCTTTCCCATAGATTAATGGCATGTCTTAATGGCTGGTATCTCTCTGCAGTTATTACAGCTCTCCACATCACTCTTGTTGTTGAAAACTGGTAACAGTAAACGTCTTCTCTATTCCTCAGGCATCCTCTCACTTTCTAAGATTGTGTTAAACAATGTAGTTAAAAAGTCCACTGCCCTCTCTCCCCTCTAAACATCTCCATACTGCCACAGGTATGTCTTCTGGACTACCCATCTTTAAATTCTTTATTCTCTTCATCACTCGCTCTAATAGGCTGACAAAATACAACAAAAAGACTTCTACTTCTACGCTGGAATGTAAATCATACACAAATGTGGTTAAATAATGTCTTACTTCCGTATCTAAACTAAACATTTAGACAAAATTAAATTGTAACAAATATTTTTATTTATTTATCTTTTTCAAATTGTTAATGTAGATAGCGAGGAAGTCAATATTCTCCCCGAGGAAAGCGTCTCAAACGTAAGTTCAGGCTTTTATTGCGAAATTAACCGGAAGACACAAACGTTAAGCTGTATTCAGTCATTAACAAAGTACAGGTCAACAAAAGCAACGAAATTGCGAATTATTGAGTATTAATAACATTGAAGACGTTTCCCTACCATATAATCCAGAGTAATGTAAAATTCTGAGCTATAACAGTGTTTTTTGGAACACGGTAAAACGCCTGCCTCGACCTGTCAGACAGATTTGGCTCACCTTCGGCTAACAACGCTGTACAAATTGAGATGAAGACGATCAAAATGGTGTCTGCGAACATGGTACTCATGGTGTCAAAGTCCCGTTTTCCAGGCCGTAGAGAGGAAAAGTATTTACTTTATATCAGAAGATAAACCCTGACCACCTTCCGCTGAGCTGAGTTTCAGCTTCATACAGCCCTGTCAGCGTTACTGCAGAGGTCAGACCACGAAAAAGCACTTCCGGTTCATCCGACCGAGCCCCCAAAAAAAAAGAAAAAGAAAAAGAAAGAAAGGAAAAAATGCATATACATACACAAAAATATGTAACAATGCAGAGAGATTTTTCTTAACCATTTTAAAAATAGTCGACACTCTTGGACATTCCCATACCACGTGGTCAAAATTGTACTTAAAGGACAGTCTTGGAGTTTTTTCTATAAAGATGCCCTTCCATGTTGCCATATTTTTTCATAACTGTCCAAATTTCTTCATACTTACCTAAAATATTAAATGTAACATTCCACCTTCCTCCATCTTGTAGCCAACTTGTTCATTTTTTTGCATCTGAATCGTGTTTGCTAATATCACACTACCCAAAACTGTTCATCCATCCATTTTCTTCACCCTGGTAAGATTGCCAATCAATCACAGGACAAACACAAAAAGAGAAACAATCACTCACATTCTCACCTACAGTCAGTTTCGAATCACTAATTAATCTAGCCAACGTGCATGGTTTTAAAGCAGGAATTTCAACTCATTGTTATAACGGGTCACAAGCTCACTTTGATCTTAAGAGGGCCAGACCAGTGAAACTCCCCTTTCTGTCAGTGAAAATAAGTTTAAATAAACATTTAATATCTTAATACTAAACAAGAACTATCTTAATATGAGAAAAAGAAGAGTAATTGCAACAGTGCAACTTAGTTTTTCCGCATGCTAAAGAAATGCTGCTCTCATTAATGGAAGAAAGACTATTTTGGCTTAACTTGCTAGAAATAAAAGTATAAAATTACAGAAAAACAATCCTGGTAGCTCATCAGATAAAAAAGAAGGTCTCTGTTAATTCACAGAAAATGCCCCTTTTTTTGCAGATCCAGTGTAAAAACACATGTTTCTATAGTCAATGGTGAAAGTTGAACCTTTCTGTTATTTAATTCTATTACTTTGGTGTATGTATACCAAGGGGCAGTTCCTTATCAGTAGGAAAAGCTGCAAAACTTATTAGCATTCATTCAAATGTCCAAAAATTAATTACTTCCTTCACATTTTCTAAAGACATCCATCCAGTGGGCCAGATTTGAGCCTTTGCTAGGCCAATTCTGGCCCCAGGGCCTTATGTCTAACATCCCTATTTTAAAGTGTGGAAGGATGCTTCTTCATGGGAAGAAGATGGATCGTTTGAAGGAAAACACAGGAACTTCTTGCTGTGAGACGAGAGAACTAACCACCATGCACCACTCTACACTTTAAACAGTTTACGTTTCATCAAAATGATTGTGGATTTTTTTTTTTTTTTTTGTGCTGATTAATCCACGTGTTCAAGGCTTAGAGTACTAGTCAGCTTACTGACATCTGTTTAACTCAAAGAAAAACAGTCCGTGTTTTTAATAATGTTAAATTGCTGCACAAGTAAAATTTATAAAAGAAAAGAGAAAAAAAGGAACCCGCTACTACCTGTCAGCGATTTCATCATCAGCATCCTCATCTTCGATTTGTTGCCCTTGAACGTCATCATCACCACCAACTTCACCGTCGCCTACACCATCATCAAATGGGAGGAGCGCGCACTCCCCCGGCGTAGAGGTACGGTGCGCGCTGCAGATGAAACATGGCAGGAGACAGCGAGACAAAGCCAGGTGACCAAGCCGAAAATGACTCAAATATTCGGCAGCCATTCCTCATCGGTGTGGCCGGAGGGACAGCCAGCGGGAAGGTTGGCTTTTATATTATAAACCCTTTCTTCTTCTTTTTTTCCTTTGGATTATTTCTTGGAGGCGTCTGATTTTTTTTTTTTTTTTTTTTTTTTTTTAATATCTGTTGTGTTAGATTATGCGTTTGGGATGAAGAGGGCAGGACTAAGAAATTAAACGTATTCTTCCTCGGAAAAAAGAAGTTTAGTTTAAAATCATTACTTAGTCACTCGGCCTGGTTGTTGTGTTGATCAGTAGTGAAAGTTACGCAGGCCGCAGTACTGCATGTCAAATCAGAAAACGTGCACTGTCAACACTACTGTCATTTCCCCCCCCCATTGAAACCAGATTGATGTTCAGATTTCAAACTTCCGTGAAGGACTCCCGTATTTTGTTTTTCATGCTTTTTTTTTAATCAGAGGGGATGTAAAGAGTGGCGAAGATCATGGAAAATAGGAAAAGGAGGAGTGAGGTTTGTCCTAATTAGCATCAGCTGCGCTGGGTGCGCTGGCTGCGAGGAGTGTAAAATGCATTTGCAGACAAAGAAAGCTGAAAAAACTGACTGCTAACGCACTGTGCTGTCTGCAGCAGATGGATGCATGATTATCACTATTGGAGGCTGCAGCTTTGATGTTATTCTTTTTATTGCGCTTTCTAAATGATTTTCTGATGTCACACAATGTATCCGCTGTTTCAAAGTCGCTTGATGTTAACTTTATCTCATTTCACTGACCTGCTTGACACTGACAATATAGACGCCTTTGGTGCCACGACAGACTAAATATGTGCTTTGGCATTCTGTATTGTGCAGCATGTTATAGGTTCCCAGTAGTTTCCAGTATTCTGTCTTGGATGATCAGAATATGCTGCACTATGGTCACATTTTGTTGCAAAGTGGATAATCACAATAAACACAGTCTCTAGGGTGAACCAGGGCTCCAGTTTATGACAGGATTGCACAGCATTTTTATACTAAATCTGAGAAAATGCCCCATATTTTGATTGGCTTAAGTTTACATAAATCAATACATCTAACAAGAAACGAGGCGCAGATCCATGAAATAACCTGAAATGATACATAAAAGTTTTAACAGTTATTCAGGATATAAAAAGGTCATTCACGGAAGCACAAAAACTATCATATAAGAACATAAAACAAGCTTCTGAAGTTGGGAAAATTGCATTCAAATAAAATAAAGTACATTTGTCCTTTTTATTTAATCTTCAACATGTATTTGAAGATTGGTGCTATGAGGCCCTGTTTTGGAGCACTTCTCTGTAATAGCAACATGTTTTGCATTTTCATCATAAGAATAGTTTTTGACCTACATTTAATTAGTTGGGATTTGTTTGGCTAACTAATTTAGCCTTGTATTTCCATGAATCCAAGACTGGCATATCTCTTGACATTATTCATATGGGTGACAGTATGCTGACTTCTTAGGTGAAGGTGGTTGTGGTTCAACAGTCGGTTGTTTGTGGCTTCAACTTCCTGGTGTTATGCCTCTATTTTCCCACAGGAGTAACTGCTCACAGAACCACCTGTTCTCCCAGACATGTTATCTGAACAGGGAGTAAACTGCAGTTATTTGTTATGTGTCTGAAATGGCGTCAATGATTTCCAGTAATGGACTATGCTGTGTTTTTACATGATTAGGACGTCAAGTGTAAGTAAATGTTGGTTTCAGTGCAAAAATATCAGGCCGTGTTAAATCGTGTAACGAGGATCACTTGTTTCTGATTCTTTGTTTGTGTTCAGTCGTCGGTGTGCAGTAAGATCATGGAGCTGCTGGGCCAGAACGAGATCGACCACCACCAGCGGCAAGTGGCCATCCTCAGCCAGGACTGCTTCTACAGGGCCCTGACCCCGGAACAGAAGGCTAAGGCGCTCAAGGGCCAGTTCAACTTTGACCACCCAGGTACATCGCCTCTGCATTTGTGAGTCATGCTGAGTCACTGGGCCAGAGGGGGCTCGAGCATTGAAACGTAAGCATTCATGTTCATTCATGCCAAATGTGAATTTTGGTTTTAACTACCTTGTGCTCTTTCCTTCTCTATAGATGCATTTGACAATGACCTCATAATCGCGACCCTGTGGGACATCAAGGAGGGAAAAACGGTCCACATTCCTGTTTATGACTTTGTTTCCCATTCCAGGTGACTAACTGGTCATACAGGCACAACATTAAAAGGGGTTTCAGCAGGTTTCAGCTTACACAAAGAGATCTCTGATGCAGCATCAATGGAAGCATCATAATACATAAGACATGCATTATATCTACTGTGGTGGGCAAATTGATTTTCATATCATAGTGAAATGAATGGAAGCCCATAACTGCCTGGAAGGTGGGAAAATCTGAGTGCGCTTTGTAGTAAAAGTGTTCAAATGTGAAACAGTACATGAAAAGTGAATTATTTATTTATAGTTTTTTTTAATTGTTTTAAATTTGAGATTTCATTTTTGTTAAAGTTAATTAAAATAAAGAAAAAAATTCATTTGCAACAAGACATCATTTCTTGGTTCAGCACATTCTTGGGGTGCTGCACCTTTAATAGAATTCAAGACCTTTTTTCAGAATAACTCGCAAGCTTTTTAATCTCTCCAATCGCCATTCTTATCATTTTTCACTGCAGTGGATGCTGTTTAACCTTCTTGCTGTTTTAATATATGTCAGGAAAGAAGAGACCATGACACTGTACCCTGCTGACGTGGTGCTGTTTGAGGGCATCTTGATGTTCTACTCTCAGGAGATTCGAGACTTTTTCCACATGAAGCTGTTCGTGGATACGGATGCAGACACTCGTCTGTCACGGAGAGGTGACGCATGGCGAGACAAATCTGTTATGTTTATAAGCACGGGGCGGGGGGATGAACGTAACGGTTCATTGAATTAGTTGTTTTTAAAATGAGGACCTGTGGTGCAGGGGGGCTGCAAAGAAGGGCTCTTGAAAATTAAAGCTAGTTTGGCATCTTAGGAAACAAGCTTTTCTGTTTTCCTGTTAAAATTGCTACCATACAGCAGGTTCTTGGCTTAACCTCCAAACTAGAAGCTGGGAAAACACAGTGGGTCTGCTTATAGGTAGCTAAACGGCCTACCAATAGATCAACTCAGTAATTAACTCATTGTCTTTTCTTTTTTTTACTTTTTTTAATAGAAAAAAGGAAGAAATTATACATAAGTGTTAAAATACTTTATCCAATTTAAACGTTTTCTCCCTTGTCTCGTTTTCCTTCAGTGCTCCGTGACATCAGTGAACGTGGTCGGGATTTGGAAAGCGTTCTAGCCCAATACATCACCTTTGTCAAGCCTGCTTTTGAAGAGTTTTGTCTGCCGGTGAGTCCATATTCTGTTAGCACATTTGCAGATTGTCCCTGAACATGGAGTCAAAGATAAAATGTTTGCTCTTTTTTCTTTTCGACTTTGTTTAGACAAAGAAATATGCTGATGTGATAATACCGAGAGGAGTTGACAACATTGGTAAGTAGTTTTTTGGTTGTTCTGGGGGTGGGTCTGCCTGGGAAGTGCATCATAAAGACTACATTACAGATTATTTAGAAAAACAAATCTAGTGGAAGCAAATTTTGGAGACTCAACAGTGTTTATCAGCAAGGACGCAGCTGTGTTTATCTCCTTGCTGGGAATTGTGGTCTTCATACTCAGGAAGCAAGGTGAGGACAAAACAGCTTTGTCTAGTTTTAGGAAAGCTGTAAAAGAAAACTGCACTGCTCTCTGACACACCTGCTCCGACCATTTCCCCTTGATTGCTTCTTGGTCAGGTTTTATATGTATATGTGCCGCTGTGGCTTTTTAATTGTAAAAATGTTTCTTGCCATAAATCTGCTACAACACTTGTTGATGTGGCAAAGACATGCATATAAAAACATTACAGGCTTTGGTATAATTGTGATTTTTAGATCATGAGACTTCTTTCCAGATGATCAGTAGTCTAATTTTCTACACATAATATTTGAAATATTTGTTTAGGTCTGACTTGGAACAGGAGCATTGACATACAAAGAATGGAACAACAGGCTTACTGTGGTGACTTTATTCCAGGCAGCATTTTTCCGTCTATTATCCAATTTTTGTGGCCCTGTGCTTGGTGTATCCTCAGTTTCCTGCTCACACGCGTGGCACTCAGTGCCATCAGTATTTTTGCCTTTCTCTGTAAACCGTAGAGATGGCTGCTTAGGAAAATCCCAGTAGATCAGCAATTTCTGAAATACTCAGACCAGCCTGTCTGGGACAAACAACCACTCCACACTCGGTCACATAAATCACCTTCCTTCCCCATTCTGACCCCTGATTATATTTCAGCATGTTGCTTCGTCTCTATGTCTAAATGTGTTGTTGCTGTTGTGTAGATATTTGTGTTAACGAGCAACTGGACAGGTGTGCTTAATAAAGTGGCCAGTGAGTGTAATTAACCCAAACATACCTTAAGTTTTAAAATGTATTCTTACAAGTGTCACAAAAAAAATAATGTGTTTTTGTAAGAAGTAACAGACCAAGATTTCTATATAATATGGGCTGTACAATTCATTTAATATATATATTTTTAAATATACAATTTATAATATCTGCCATAGAAGCGAAATAGTGTAGCTATGGTAAACAAAGAGACAATTACATATATATTTTCATTATTTTGTGCCGTTTTATTCTGTAAAATAGCTTAGACCTTTGATGATTAAAGATGAGCTGTAAGTTTTGGGGGTATTAACTTTTTTTGGATGATGAGTTTGTATCTCTCAGTAAAACAGAGTTACAAACTGAGACCATCTGTAACCATGTAACATCTGTCTTTCAACGCAGTTGCAATAAATCTCATCGTTCAGCACATCCAGGACATTCTGAACGGCGGTTTGACCAAACGACTGAATGGGTGGTTCAGCGGTTATGGGACGGAGAAGAAGCAGCCGAACATAGAGTCGAGCAGTCGGCCCCACTGAAGCTCATCACTCCTTCAGGGAAGAGGAGAATGGTTTGCCTGAGTGTGCTGCTCTTCGTCACGGCTACTGCAACAAGGCAGCATAACTTCCGGGAATTCAAAAAGCCTCCTTTTGGTGCGATTCTGCTTAGACTTATTCAAATGAAAGGAGGCTTTGTGGAGCTGGTTCGCAGCAGAGGTATTCAGTTAAAATTTTCTCTTTAACTTGTGTACTGGATGACACTGATCGAGGGAGGAGTGAAAAAAGGCACTCACTTTTAATTTCATTTCAAACTGCTGCTTGCCTTTAATCCAGCACGGAGCTGGAGAAACTGTCTGCAAAAAGATTCACACACTCGACAGCCTTTAACGATCCAATAAACAGATCTTTTTCAAGATCTGTTTAAAAATGATTAAACAAAAAGCTCAGCTGAAACAACCAATTTATGCCTCAAACACCCGATGTACTACATCACCGCCAAAGATGGTCTTTGTGGACTAAATATGGAGTTTAATTTTGCATTTACCCATTTAATATTACGAAATCAGGAAAATTTATCATTTTAAGAAATTACCACAAAGTATAATTTTTCCTTGTAACTGTCAGATGCATGTTAAGATGTTTTCATTAAAAGAAGATGGACTGAACTCTAAAAGGAGATCGATTTAATATGATCTGCGTGTTCTGTTAAGGTTGTTTAATGCAGTTTCTTTTCTGTATGTTTGACTGCTCAGGTACTGTTATTTTCACCTTAAAAAGCTTCTTTAATGAAGACCGTTCTGTGTTGTGTTATTCTTGATGTCGCAAATTGAGAGAGAAGTGCCACACGCTGCTTAGTGCTGTAGAGGCAGCAAAGATATGGAGTGGCATTTTATGTCTGCGTTGTGATAAAATGCCCCAAAGAGCCCTTAAAAGTTTTTTTGCAAGTAAAATGTGAACCTTAAATGGATTGTTTTCCTCACAGCTGAGTCTTGTAGGTTGACTCCATACTGAATGGTGTGCAGCCAGCATTAACAGTGGGTGTGCTCTGGGGCACGAGCATGTGCTCCAAATGGAAGAGGTGTCACAATAAAATGATGTTCGCTTGTGTCAGATCAACCCAGCATTAAAGTGTTGTTAATTATGAGTGAAATAATAATGCTAAAGGGAACTCCTACACCAGCAGCACCTGCCGGCACTGTGCGGATGCCATTCTGACTCAGCACTGTTTTGAAGCTCGATATTGAAATTGCCTTGTGTAAGATTGTCTCCCAAAGGAGAAAATGCCAAACATTACAATATAAACGCATGACACAGGCACACTTTAGCAAGTACAGACCTGCAGTGACATCAAAGCCTTGTTACTGCTTTGTCTACATTAGCCATTCATAATCTGCTTAACAGACAACTGGAAGCATTGCACATTAAATCAGACATGTGGTTGTGGTAGGCTTGAATTGAGTGAGGCATGCTGTGTGTACGTCAGCAGATATTCATGTAGATTGCGTTTGTTTAACAATTTCCGATGCTGTAATTGGTGAAAAATGTACTGAGACTTCTGCAGGCAGACAATAAAACAAAACTCAGTTTGAGTTCTCACAAGATTCAGCTTAAAAACAAACGAAACATCTGAATTTAAATCACAAATGTATTTTACTTGCAAATAAAAACCCTCATGTCTTAACTTTATAAACACAGCACTTTAAGGGCTGATAGACACATTTAAGCTAAAGCTCAAATCACAATACTTTTTCCTACAACCAAGAGCATCAATATCATGTCATACATCATAGTTTCAATACTTAAAATTTCTGTTTTCTGATTCACTGGACCAAAATTGAAAAGGATTATTTTGGTAAACTTTAAAGGGTTAACCGCTTAAAACAACTCATAATTTTTACCTGCATTTTGACACCAGGCTCATCCTGTAACGGCGATAACTTCCATGTGAAAACTGTTAAAAACAGTGAATTAACAGAAAACAGCTTTTTCTGTTAGTGTAAACCATCGATGCATTTTTCTTAACTTCATATCCAATTTAACATCATGAGAAGGCAGAAGTTCATCAGGGCTGTAATAGGGCAGAGCGTGGGGTACATGGAGAGGTGTCCGGTGTATCACAGGACTCAAAGTTGTTGTTTTTTTTTTTTACATTTTCCAAATCACAATATCTGCTTTCAATGCTGCCATGTATTCAAACAATTGAGAAAGCTTTCCTGTCAGGGTTTAAATGCGTATTTGTAATAACGTATCTAAAATTAATTTTACTATTACCTAACATTTAAACATGAAAATTCATTTTCTTTATGATCTCAGTCCAGGCTAATGTAGCCCTGCAACATATGCAATGTTTCACATATTCCCAGCTGTGCCCCAAATCAACAGTATGCACTAAGCAGGGTTTCTGGATTTTTTTTACACTGGAAAAGCAAAAAATAAAAGCAAAGAACAAAAGACAAACAAAACTGGAGCAGGAACATTCCGTGAACTGGCTGCATGGGACTGGCCACAGTTCTTTACTTAAAGTCATACAACGAGTTCAAGTAATCACTTTACTTCATTCACATGTGATGGAAAAACAGTGTGAATTTTTAAAGTAGCACTCTTGTGATTAAATAAAGAAGCACTTTGGTATGAAAGACGTTTCTACAGAACTGCACGTTCTTTTGAGTTCAGTATGTAAGACAGTCTGAAGAGTTCCTGCTAAAGGAGAGTGGCTATTCAGTCCTGGGAATCTCAGCATGTTAATGTCACTCCCTCATAGAAGTGTTCTGACCAAACAGGCTTCGGTAGAGTTCGCTGCGGGCCTCGTCGCTCATCGAGCTGTGGTCAATCGGCGCCATGAAATTGACCAGTTTGCTGTGGATGTGGAACCGGACTTTGCGCCCCTTGCTGGCTTTAGTGTCTACTTTCTTCTTGATTTTGCTGCGCAGCTTCTGGATGGCCAGCCACTGCCGGCCCATAGCCACCTGATCGTTGGGGTCCGCTGCGCTCGTCTTACGCTCGATCAGCTCCCTCAGCAGCTGGTGGTAGAAATCGTCGTCATCAAATATGTCCTCATTGAGATCTTTCAGATGCGTGTTGGACTTCAGCTGTTGCTCCGACACCTCGCCTCCCTCCATGGGGGTGTTCTCAGATGTGAGAGCAGGGGCTTCCACCTTCCCCAGGACCCGGTACTCTGAGCGCTGGGTCTGGGTCCGCTTCAACAGCCTGTCCTTGTCCATCAGCACCTGCTCCACCTGGGTGAGAATGTTCCTCTCAAACGCCCCAAACCCTTTGGTGCTCTTGCCCATCGTCAGCCTTGTTTTGTCGTGCCACTTCTGCAGCGTGGCATTGCAGTAAGGCTGGAAAGCTGCAAACCGTTTGGCCATGAAGTCCGGGTACTCTGCCATCTCCAGTTTTCGTTTGGGCGCTCTGGCCTGCTGCGCTGATCCCTCCTTTTCATCGTCGCTGGTTATCTCCTCGTCTTCCCCCATGTCGATGGATCTCGTGTCAGCGTTCTGGTGCAGAAGTTGGTCATGCAACTCCAGCAGGGACCTCTGAAGAGCCTTCAGAGCCTTGTGAGTGTTCTTCAACGCTGCTGTGAACTCCCCCCCACCTCTCCTCTTGAACTCTGGGAAAGTCTGTGGCTGAGGAAGCTGGTTGGCAGTCACCAAAGCTTTCTGGATTTTTATTCGGCCCTCGAGCAGCTGGTCCCACAAGGCCAGCTGGTTCTTCACCGCCTTTCCTTTCTCCACCTCCTCATCTACTTTGTCCTGGGAAAACGTGCGCACCACTCCATCATCATCATCATCATCCTCTTGCTCGCTTTCCATCTCATCATCATCAGAGCCTTCCTCTTCTTCACTGCCTTCAGACTCCTCACGGCTTTCATCATCATCCTCGCTCATTCCCAGGTCATCCATACCTTCTGTCAGTTTATGGAAGTCTACTTTCTGAGGAAAGGTGATGTCAGTTGCTTTCTTCTTTGAAGCTAGATTAACATCGAGTTCTGAATCACTGCCCATCAACAACTCTTCCTCATCATCGTCTTCCTCCTCTGAAGCATTTTCATCGTCATCTGCCTCTTCATCCCCCACTGAATCATCTTCGTCACCTTCTTCCTCCTCCTCCTCAACATCATGTTCATCCTCCTCAGTCTCCCTAAGCAGCTGCTTTCGGGACACTGGCTTTCCCACATACCGTCTATCTGTGTCCGAAAGCAGGGAGGTGTTGCGCTTCCGCAGAGCGCTGAGGCCGGCCGCATCTTCATCCTCATTGTCGTCTTCATTGAACCGGTCCACCACTCTGGCTTTGGTTACCTCGTCATCATCATCCTCCGGATCCACGAATTTTGGCAAAGGATTCAACAGATCCTCAAGCTCCTGTGAAAACGCGCCTGCCATGGCTCAAAGTTTACAACCACCACACGTGCAGACTCTTCCTGTGCGCCAGAGCGGTTTGATGACGTTAGAAAAATGCGACACGTATAAAGACGCTGAATAAGTTCAGCCCTGCGTGAGTTCTTTCAGGAAGAACCTGATGATAAATGAATGCAGAAATACCAACCAAGAATTGATGGCTTAAGTAAAATCAAGCAAACAAATGAACAAAATTGGAAATAATTAACAATTAATTACTGATATAGTTATTCAACTGTTTCTTTTTCTTTTGTAATGTGACAAAGTCATTTAGAAGATTTACAGAGGACCAGAAGAGTCTAATAAACAATGTTGTGCTTCAGTAATGAATTGTTCCATACTGTACATCTGTAGAAGTTGTTGAGGATTATGGTTTGACGTCTTAAAAAGCACATTCTTGGGTCTTGTCATAGATTTATACATACCCCAAGAGGAAGCCAGAAATTGTATTTATTAACGGAGTTTTATTCCAAAAATAGGTGACTAAATGAATAAAAAAATAACATTTATTTTATACTTCTGAACTAACAAACAATCAAAGATGCATCAAACTAAAAATAAATCGATGTGCAAATAATGAATATTTTAAAGGCATAAAAGAAAAAAAAGTTGCTAGTTAACTTAAAAAACTGACACAAACTTAAAAAAAAAGAAACCCTAAGTCTAAATTCTTAAAGTAAAAAAATGACTGAATTATCGCGGGAATATGACCTTTAAGACAAAACTTTGGTCAAAAAAGCCCCACATCTATAATCCTCTGCGCATGCGTATACGGTTGGCGAGGCTCTGGGCTGCTCTTGCTAGCTCAGTTTTGTTCATCAGACTTGCGCAGAAAACGCTTTCTGTAGAATAAAGATGTCAACAAGCGACTTTTATTTGAGATATTATGTCGGACACAAGGGGAAGTTTGGACACGAGTTTCTAGAATTTGAGTTCAGGCCTGACGGTAAGTGTA